GTAAAGAAATAGATCAACATAACATATACGTGGTTCGGTGATGGTACTTATGTTCATGAAAGATAAACTAGCATTTCATTAATAGGGAGTACTCTGGTTTACCAAAAATTTATAGAGCTATAATTCTTATCTTTTAGGAAACAAAATCTCATTACAACTGTAATCCCATAAAATAGGAAACTCAATATAGAAAACTCAATATCTTGTAATCCACAAGATAGGAAGCTTAATATCTTGTTGCTATAACCGTCAACACTCCCCTTCAAGTTGGTGCATAGATATCCAGGGAACCCAACTTGAATATTATCTAATGGAACTTTGTCCTTGCAATAGCTTTAATAAACATGTCTGCAAATTGGTCTTCACTTCGAACATAATAAGCACTAATAATTTTTTATCTGAACAATTTCTCTCACAAAGTGACAATCTACTTCTATATGTTTGGTTCTTTCATGAAAAACTGAATTGGAGACTATATGTATAGCTGCTTAATTATCACATAACACCTGTATTGGATTGACAGATGGAAACCCTATTTCTCAAAATAATGATTTTAGCAATATCAATGCACTTGTAGTTAAAGTCATAATTCTATATTCAACATTTGCACTGAATCAAGCAACTACTAGGTTTTTGCTTTCTCAAGCAACAAAGTTTCCTCCGACAAATGTACAATAGCCAGTAGTGGACCTTCTGTCAATTGAACTACCTGCTCAATCAACATTAGAATAAATAATAATATTAGTGTGACCATTATGCTTCATCCAAATACATATGTCGAGTGACAACGTAAGATATCTGACAATCATATTGACAACCTCCATACGACATGATCTAAGAGCATGCATAAATCAACTCACAAGGCAACCTCATACATTATATCTAGTTGTGTCATAGTCAAATAAATCAATCTGCCCACAAGCCTTTACAAGTGGCCCACATCTTCAAGAGGTTTTCTATTTGTTGAATTAAGCTTACAATTGATATCAACAGGGGTGTCATACAATTTCCCAGTTTCTTTCAATAGGTTTAAGACATATTTTATTTGAGAAATGAAAAATCATTTTTTAATGTGACACTTTCATTGATGTCAAATTTCTGATGAAGATCATTTTTAAGCTTCATAATTTTTTCTTTGTCATTAACATAAACGAGTACAACTGTTGTCCTTGAAGTTCCCCTTTATATGAACATCTAAGAATCAACTAAACTTCTAAAAAATCCAAAACTCATCAAAGCAGAGCTTAGTTTGGCATATTATGTGCGAGGTAATTGTTTAAATCCATATAATGCCTTCTTTAATTTGCATACAATATCTTTCTCCTTTCTTTGCAATGGCCTGAAGGAAAACTCATATTAACTTTTTCTTCAAGGTCACCATGTAAAAAATCATTTTGAACATTCATCTGATGCAAAGACCACCCACAATTAACTACGATAGACAAAATGAACATGAATAATATTCACTTTGGTAACTAATGCAAAAGTCTCTCTATAATCGACTTCATAAGTTTGGGTAAATCCTTTGGCCACCATTTATGCTTCTCAACAAACTCATCAACTGATATATTTGATTTTAAAAACTCATCTACATCCAACTGCTTTCTTCCCTTTATGTTACTTGACAATGTCTCATATGTGGTTCTTGTCCAGTTACTAAAGTTCCTCTTTCATGACCTTCATCCACACAGGGTAAGAAATAGCATTTTGAAAAGGACCCGGTTTCTATGCGGCCAAGCCTGCATATGTAGAAATGCGGGCCTCTTAATAAATCGATTTTTGAGATGGATTTTAAGACTTAAGTTTTAAGGACATGTAATCTAACATGGAAATCATGAATATGGAAAAATAAATAATTTTAAAATTTTAAAATTAATAATTCTAGTAAGAAAACATTTGGCCAGATAGTTTCCATTGTTTTTAGATGGAACACCTACTTGCATCCATCTTTAAGATGGATGCTTTACACTTTCTGGACCATATGTAGAAATGCGTCCAGCCCACATGAAACAATTTTTTCTTTAAAATTGGTTGGCTCAGAATTATTAAAAATAAAACTCAAAAAACCAAAAATAGCCAGGAGATATATTTTTATAGAAAATATGATTTTGAACAGGATAAGAAACTGCATGGTAAGTATAAATATATTGAACTTGGAGGAAGGTTAACAGATACGATAAGACCTCCGCAAGTGGGATCATGTAGGGTCACAACGGAGTCTTCTTCTTCTAAACCAGTTTAGTGAGTTTCGAAGGTATCTTCAGCTTCGGCTAAATCATTATGACTTGTTCCAAGTGTGTTAGACACTTCACTAGTACTAATATTAGACAAGGGTAAACAACCTCTTGAACTCTCCCCTTGAGATCGTATTTTTCAAACCACTCTTCAATGTGTCATGGAAATAAGTATTTGAACATATAAAAATATATATATATATTCTAGTTGTGGGATCATAGCATTTGTATACTTTCTGTGTAGAAGAGTATCATAGCATTTGTATACCTTTTGTGTATACCGTTTGTGTACATTTCTACCGTTTGTGTACATTTCTTGGAATGTTTGTCAAGTTTATCCCGATTGTACCCAACCACATGAACATAAAATAGGGAAATGCTACCTAGCTCTACGCTTCCAAAAAGGGTTTTGAATATATCAAAGAAATCAATATCATCCTTTGCGTTCTTCCCCATTGTCGATGCTATGTTTTTACATACAATATGACTCCAAGCTATAGGAAACTAAAACCAGAGATGAGAGAGATCCACACTCACCGCATGAAGATTATTTATCGATTGTGAGCTTTTATACAGATCTTAAGACTTTTACATTGATACCATGTTGAAGATGCAATAAACGAAATAGAGAAGAGAAATAGATCAACATAATATATATGTGATTTGGCAATGGTTCCTACATCTACAGAGGATAAACCAGTATTTCATTAATAAGGATCACTTTGTTTTACCAGAGATTTATAGAGCTACATGTTTTTGTCTTTTAAAAAACAAAATCTCATTACAACTATAATCTCACAAAATAGGAAACTCAACATACGAAACTATCGAAAACTCAATATCTTGTAATCCACAAGATAAAAAGCTTAATATCTTACAACTATAACAGTGAACATGTATAAAAGTTCTTTTTCTCAAACAAATGAAATCCCAAATTTTATGACGTGAGAAAATAAAAAAAGAGACCATTAACAAACCAACATTCCTTCAGGTACACTTTATCTCTTAATATCCATCATAAGGATCAGGTTGTGAATGGCCCTCCTGGTTCATCACATCCCATACACAAGGGATGGATTTCCTTATAACAATTTAACAGTTAAAATGGTTGCTCATCTCTCACTTGATAAAAGGCATAAACTCATAAAAGAAGTCACAATTGCATCCAGTGCACACAGGTCCACCAAACATTACAAGAACGGAAGGTGAGTGTCCAGCAGTGTATCATGCACCCTACCCAAAGGCCTCTAGCAAATAACGTAAGGAAAAAAAAAATATTTATAGAAGGTTGTAACCGTATACTGTAAAAATAATATGCAGCTCAAAAATCTAGTAGAAATGAGAATTTCAAAATAAAAACCTTCCAACTAATCATATGAGATGAATGAAAAAGGAAAAAAAAAATTTGTACAGTATATCTCATAACATGAGCTATCTATTTTCAAGATTTTCAAGTATTTATAGATCTGCTCAATCTACAGAATTTTTAACTTTCCACAAATAAGTTTAAACATAGATGTTTAAATCATCGTAAGATTTACGACACCAAAAATACATCTTCAAGCAAAATTTAGAGATATGCCTGATTCGTAAAGTATAAGATGCCACCTTATACAAACCTCACCCAAGCATAAACTTGAGGCCATTGTGAATGAGTTTAAAGTGTGTTGCCCGAATTATTGGGCTCTTGATAAAAAAGCAAGAATTTAAGGCAGGCAGCTTTCTCCTATGTGGTATACGATGAGAAGGTAGTGTGTAACGTGTGACCCAGGGACCATACACCACTTTATAATATGCATATTTTAGGACAAACCCCATAAAGGTACACGTGGTACCATGCTTCTTTTAGACAATTCCCCACCCATAAAGCTTTGATGAAAACATAAATTTAAAACCTCTCATGTGCCCCGCCCATTCCACAATGGTGTATACGGCCCGGATTTCACGTGAGGCCATGTGCCCTTCATGGACATCTACCTAAACATGCATCATTTTACTTGGGCAAGCTTTGTATGCTTTCTTTATTGTATAAAACCGCTCATTTTGAATGGACGGCTAAGATAGCCTCAATCACATTGTCACATTTCTACACTATTTTATTTTTAATATTTTTTTACAAAATATTTTGACACCGAATTTTAAGCGTCCACTCCTTAAACTCGCACTTGTAAAAAAATAAAATAAAACAAATATTCTCAATAAAATAAAATGACCAAAATTTCCTAAAAATTTCAAAAGATATTTTGGTTATCACATTTTTTCAAAAATTTGTTTTTAATATTTTCCTAGGTACGCCACATTGAGATGATGACACATACCAAATTTCATATTCATATAATTTATAAAAAAACTTAATATAAAATACTCTAAGATGTCGGATATAGATCAAACCATCAATGGGTCACTTGATCTAAATTGGACGGCTGGATGGGAGGGAAGTATATATCTTCTAGGACAAGTATAGAAACCTTTTGCATTTTACTTTCCCTTTCAACACATTGTTTTCACTCTTTTTGATCCATTTGCTAAACTGAGAAACTTATTTCCCAATCCCATGTATTTCATATGGCCATTAAAGCCTCAAGCCCGGTTTTGGTTAAAGCACGTGAAGCAAATCAATCAAAATTTCCTACTAATGGGTAGATTGCTTAATTTTAAGCAAACGCCAAAACTCGCTTGCATAGAAGTGCCACCAAATTGTAGGTTCACAATCATTGTGTTCGCATAAAAATAGTCAGGATTGAAGGTTTTCAAATGAAGAGTTTCTGGAAGAATTGTTAAAGCTTTTCCTTAGCAAAATTGGGTGCGAAAACTGTGTAATACCACTAAAAATTAAAAAAAAAAAAAAAAATTCAATTTTTTTACTGACATACTTCTACATATACATACATAGCCTTGCACCAATTAGCAATGCACCAGCAGTCAGTGTACCTTCAACCTTAACCATCAAGCCGAAAACTCGCTGTCTGTCCACAAGCCTGAAAAGAAAGGGGAACTAATTATTTTGGCTTCTAGCATGTACTGGTGTGTAATGGTATGAAGCCTCTTGTGGGTCCAAATGCCACCCATATCAATCAGAAAGAAAGAACAGAAACAAAAGTTTGAAATGGTTTACCATGGAAGTGTGCTTGAGTATAGACATATTGCAAATATTGCTCATTTGATCACGTGATAATAACAGACGTGTGTGTGGCACGCTTTTCCAACTTTCCCCAAGAGCAGGCTTAGAATTTCCTCCTTCACCCACTACAGTGTGGTTTGTAACCTGGATAACAGGCCTTGAGAATCTTAAATAATTAGAAGCACAAGTGAAACCAACTGAAATACTTGAATCACATTGACTCCAATAAGCATAACAAAACAGGAAAGAACAATTAAAAGAGCATAGCACCTTTTAAGCCAAAAACAAAATTTGAAAGGTATTATTGGAAAAGAATAATACATTTTGAGTTCCATGCATTCCTAATCAAACTTTGTATAAACAAACTAAATATATGTTTTATTCAATATGTATCATGATGGAAATGGCCATGCAGATCTGAAGAGGATGGGATGTTTGTCTATTTCAGTGCCCGGTGAAGAAAAATGTGTGGAAAAACCTTCAAACGAGACATTAAAGATGATGGGCATATATAACCAGATGTGTGAATAATAAAGCACCAAAAGAACGCAAAAGATTATCTAAATTCCATATTAGACATGAGCATTAGTGTAGAGCCATTTACAGGTAGGCTCCATTTAACATGAAAAATTATGCCTACCATTTAAACTGATGCAACTAAGTGTATTTTCTTGTTTATTTTCTCATGTGCTATGACTTTGCCACTTATAAAAGAAAAGGTCATTCCCATGTGTTGATTCATGAATTAAACCAGTGTTTCACAAACCGGCGAGCTGGGCAGTCCAGGTATAAAGAACTCTTGTGGACTCACCCAGTTCCCACCAGGGTCTACCTTTTTTACAATACAGAACGGGCTAGCAGGCTCCATGGCCCACCATTTCAGTTTTTAAAACATTGGATTAAACTAATCACCTTTTAAACCATCACATTCAAAGACACTAACAATCTCAACTTCAATAATGAACTTTTAGAGGTTGCTAAGAAATTTTTATGTTATTGTTGCTGTATAGAAGTAAATATTCGTCCACATACATAAAGAAACAAAAAAAAGAACCGAAGCTACTGAACATACTCTAATGGATATGAACTGGTTGCAGAAAATCTAGAGAATATCTTACCAATACTGCAAGATTATAATCTATAGCAAGTTTCTTTAGAATAAACCCCACATTTAACATCAGAGAGTGCCCTGCGCAATCACGGAACACAGATATGCAATTAGAGCAGAGTACTGAATTTAATTACCATAAGACATGCATCCATTATCAGCCAAATCATATAAAATAATGCAACTTTCTGTATAAAATACCATTTGTGTCAGTGGACACATGCAGAGTGTTTTAAAATGCGGGATGCGGCCAAAAGCGGTGGGGGGGCCGATGCGGCTCGATGCGGTCCGGATGCAGGTGCATCGCGACGATGCGGCAATAAGTATAAAAAAATTCCAAAAAATCTACAAAAATAGGTTAATGCATAGAAAAAAATATGGAGGTGATATATGTAATAGTAGGTATTTTAGTTTAATGATTAACTCCAAAAATATTAATTGTCGAAGATTCTGTATCCACTATCCCCTGATAGAAGCTAGAAACTTGAAAGTTGAAACTAGCGTCATAAAACATTCAACATTCAACAATCAACAACCATAAGCACAGATTTGCAACCACAAACTTCAAAGTTACAAAATAGTGTTACTACAAACCAAAAGTCCATGTCTCCATGAAGATTAAAGAGTTTTGAAGTCAAGCTGAAGAAGAGTTAATAGTTACTTAATACAATCATCCCAGACAATTTTGAAGTCAATTTTTCAAATATTAATCAGAGAAGTCATCTTGAGAGTTGTCATGCGCATCATCAATATCATCATTGACGGCCTCCACGTATTCTTCTTCCTCGGTCTCCTCTAAGTCAGCCTCCTACTCCTCGACCTTTGGAGCTGATGTGTGAGTGCGACTTGACCCAGCTCCTACTGCTCCTCTACTCCGCTGTGCTCCAATGTTAGGTCGATCTTCTTCATTAGCCCTTGTTGCTAGCTTGAATCCATGGTCCACTCACTTGTGGAATCACCATCAGCTTCATACAATTAAATAGGGTTGAGCTTCATGCAATTTTGATACCTCTCCCTAAGCCGCTCATTATACTGTACATAAACCAAATCATTCAACTTTTTCTGTTCCAACCTATTCTTTTTTTTTGTATGGAGCTGTAGTAGAAAATTGAAATTAGATTTTATATTAAAAAATTGAAAATTGAAATTGAAATTCAAGAAATAAGGATTAAGGAATAAGGAGTTAAGGACTTACATGCTCAAATGTACTCCAATTGTGTTCACAACCAGATGAGCTATATGTCAGATTCAACACTCGAATAGCGAGACATTGTAGATTTGGTGTCTCGCTTCCATATAATGCCCACCATGCAGCTATATAATATTTTATAATTTATATTATAATATAGATAAAAATTAAGGGTAAACAAATAAACAATGGAACTATATATAAAGTTATATACAATTAAGGGTACATTTTGCCTTTACCTGGTTCTGTAGTGTTCCTATTTCGAGTAGCAATATCTCTCCCAAAGTTTCCCAAGGCTAACTTGAACTTGATCATCCTGGATATCTTTGTCAGACACCAACCTCTTAAGTACATCTAAGAACCCACCATTTATTACACGATTTGACTCAATGGATGGGTACTTGTAATGAAGAAATGGGGTTAGAAAGTAACCTGCTGAATGGAGGTGCCTACGAAGATGGGTATCCCATCTCCTATAACAAATATCAAGTATAGCCTTGAGCATATTTTCATCATCCTTAAAAACATTTTTTATCTTTTCTCTTGCCCTTTTCATTGCCTCATGTATGTAGCCCATGACGGGTTTCACATCGTCATCAACCAGTCGAAACACTCTCACTCACCTCCAATGCAAGAATTATTTGACTCTAAAAAGATGTATTCAGAATAATTTTTTCAGTCTTTCTCCCATCCTTATGCTTTGACCATTAACTTTGACTCCATTGCTCCAAAGCAAACATGGTCCTCAAGGCACTTTTTTGCTTGGATAGGCTTCAAAGAGTGAGAAATGACGTGGTAAATCTAGTGATACCCGGTCTCACTAATTCTCTCTTCTTTGTAAAAGATCTCATCATGCTTAGGACTATGGTGTGATTGTAAATAAATCCAACAACAAACATAGCTCTTGAAATCACCCCACTAAATAAAGATGTTGTACCCATTTCCTTGAGCATAAGATTAACACAATGAGCAACGCAAGGAGTCCAAAACATATGCATCATTTTCAAAGTCAAGAAATGCCCAGCTACTGCATAATTGGCACCATTGTCAGTGACAATTTGTACCGCCTTTTTCTCTTCAACAAACTCTACAATCTCATCCATCAAGCCACATAAGTATGTAGCATCATGTGACTTGTCTGATGCATCAACAGATTGAACAAAAAAAGTACATGTTGGATAGTTAACCAAAAAATTAATGAATGACCTTGACTTCCCATCGGACCAACCATCAAACATAATAGTGGCCCCATATTTCTCCCACCCTTCTCTTTGAGAAATAAAAATTTTGTTGACATCGAATACAACATCCTTCAACAAGGGCTCCCTAACTTCATGTAGTGAAGGAAGAACAAATCTTGAGCCATATTACCCAATTGCCTGGACCATACATGTAAAACTATCGAGAGTTATAATATTAAAAGGAACGCCGGCTATGTAAATCCACTTTGCAATCTACTTACATACCGAGTTCCTCTGTTCTTTCTTGTATCTATTTTCAATTGTAGTTTGTTTTGTTTTCTTTCTCTCCTGAACCACAATTTCGGGGCTAGGGGTGAAAAAAACATCCATTGGCCTCTTAGAGAGAGGTATTCTTTTTTCAACACTACCACTAATATTTATAACCCTCTCTCTTGAGACTGGAGTTCGAGTACCCCTTTGCCTCATTGCAACTTTAGATATATAATCGTCAGCATCATCATCAACATCAACATCATCATCAAATAATTGCATATCATCAAGTAATTATTTTCTTTTCATTTTTTTTTTCTGTCTTTTTTCAATTTATCCATGTATTCTCTAATCTCCTTTTTTATTTCATCGATAGCTTGTGGGCATGTTCTTACATTCCTAGAATTTCCAGCTAAGTGTTTTTTTTGTCGAAAAATACCACCCATATAAGTCTTTCCACAGAGCATGCAAATCACACAATTTCTATCTTTCGGATTTTTTAGTTTGACATATTTCCAAGCCGGATCCTTCTTACTAGAAGATTGGGAAGAAGACATTGCCCCAAAAAAAACTATTATTATACAAGGAATAAAAAGTTACCGGTTCTTGAAGCAGTGCTCGATTTCTTCACGGCCTTTGAAACCCCCGATTTCGTATCACAAATCCACCTTTAGGTCCCCAAATCAACAACCAAAGGGTTCAAATCAAGATCCAAGTATCAAACAATCCACAAATCCAAGATCTCAATGAAAAATAATTTTCGCTCAAATTTTTTGTTTGCTCGATTTCATCCCAAAAAAACCACGAAAGTGGTTGTAAATGCTCGTTTAGGGGGTTTAATACCGCCCCGAACTATTTCCCCAAAGTTTTGATGGTAAAAAATGACCATTTTGCCCATCCCGAGGGGTACCATTGAAAAAAAAAAAGGCGGAAAATTATGCGGCGCATATGCGGTAAATGCGCTATGATGCAGCGCATCGCTCCAAACCGCATATGCAGTGTTCACCACATACCGCATGATGCGGCTGCATTTTAAAACACTGCACATGCATGTGCATGGAAACTTAAAACACCATTTGTCTGTAAATTGTACATCCATGAATGCCGGAAAGAAATTCAGTGTTCCACTATCATACAAAGTCTGATGGTTCAGGGTTTTCTGCTACAAGATCTATGCAGAATCAAGAAGCTTCCAGAATAATCGCGGTTCAAGATTCTCCAATATTTCCAAAGTATCAAAACCTCAAGAAGCATAGAAGGTTGGCATTGAATGGGTGCAACGCTGGCAGTAAGAAGCAAGTTGAACAACACTTTGTGAAAACATTAAAGAACTCAAGATCTTTCTCTTTCTTGACACAAATTAATGCTCTCCTAAGACAATATTTCCCCTTACTAGTAAAAATCATGTGCATCTAAGTTCTCTACGTAAATTTTTCGTTGGCATATATGGTGATGGAGAGCAAAGCTATTCTTATATTTAATATTTGTTTAATTTCCTAGGATTTACATTTTTATTTTAATCTTAGGGTTTATTTTTTAGGGTTTTAAATCCTTTTTAGGGAATCTAGGATTTTTTATATAGTTTAGGATTTTAGGAGATGTTCAGAAAAGTGGTTAGAATACTTTGAAATTATTTATTTTATTAGGGATAAAAGTGTCATTACAAAAAAAAAAATTTATAATATTTCAACTTAAGTGGGGGTAGTTTTGATCTTTTTCAATTACAATGTAATAAAAGAGCTTGGAGTGTTTAGGTTTCTGACACTTTTGGAGCGTGAACAGTAAAAGCAGATTGTGAATAGTGACAACAAGCCCTATCTATGGTTTTGGGGTCACTTTTTTATGCAAGGAAAGCCAAATCCACTTAAATCTGGCCTATTTTGATGTTTATTTAACAATTTTTGGCCACTTTTCTCTATTTTCCTGCATCAAATTGGTATCAAAGTCTAGATTTTCTTCAACAACATGGCTAGGAATCTACAACAAATCTAGGGTTTGCTGATTTTAGGTCAAGTTTCACCAAATCAACCTAGAATTTGCTGTTTTAGATAAGGTTTGTGAGTTTGGTAAACCTATCGAAGCCAGAAGAGGTCCAGGTAAGGGTATTCATATGGATCCACCTCATGATGAGCAGGATCAGGAGGTAGAGGATCTAAAACAATCAGTTCAAGAACTTACAAGGCGGCTTGTAGGCTTCGATCGTTTGCGAGATGAAGTTTTGCATGTCCAAGATGATATTGAGTACAACCTCTTTTACTATTGTTCTCCCTTGGATGAGTCGAGTGAAGAGGCATATGATCGAAGGTATGTGCGGCCAATGTTTGCAAACTCGGCCGATACAACTTAGAACCAGCCGGTCAAATAGGAACTAGGCACTGGCCTATCTGATTTTGGCCAAGTTCAGTGGTCTAGCCAGGTATTTTGAAAAAAATTCAAACAAA